GCTACATAAGCTTAAGCAAGTTAATTTCATCATTTTTAAAATGACACAACTATAGCTAAATCATTACTTGAGTTGTTGTCAAGATTAAACATGTTTTTAAACTACCATAGTAATAACTGATTCTAGCAAGAATCATCAAAGGATGCTAAAATCATCAAGTGAAATTTGTGAGAGAGAACAGGATATTCCCAGTCTCGAATTACCACTCAACATACTTTTTTATTGTACTTTTTTGAACCAATAAAAAGGATACCTTAACCAAGTGATTAAACAAATATCATCAATAATGGAACAAACAGGCATCAAGTGCCCCTTATGATGCACTGAGATACATCATCTATGAAGCATTCCTCTCAAAAATTGTTTAACCTGAATTTTATAATAAGGAATGCACGTATCTTACTTAAGCAAAACAACTGGCATAGATTCTTCCAAATTGTCCATGTCATAAAAGAACCACCAACCTTATTTTTCCAGGAGAAAAAAAAGAAAACACTGGGAAACTATCAAGATCTAAATGATAACTAAATAAAATGAGTGATCCCTGACTTTATCATGATTTTTTAAAAATGTGTTATCTAAAAAAACTTATAGAGAACATTAAGATGACTATAGAAATCTGAATACAATGCTGTATGTTATTAGATAATAGTATTATACTGAAGTTAGATTTTGTTATAATCACAGTTATGTAGAAAAATGGCATTAATTCTAGAATATACATGTTGAAGTATTAAGGAGTTTGTTATAATTTCTGCAACTAATTCTCATATGGTTCAACAAAATACATATATTTAAAGAAAGAAAGCAAATGTGACTTAATAGTAAAAATTGGTGAATCTAGGTAGAGAGTAAAAGAGTATATGGGTTGTTGCTCTAATATTTTTGCAACTTTTCCTTATGTTTGGAATATTTCAAAAATAAAACATTAAGAAAATGTTTTAAATAAAAATTTAAATGAGAACGCAAGTCAAGCATTTAGCACAATACTGGCACAAGGTAAGTTACTATTATTGTTGTTGATTTTATCTTCCAAAACAGATTGTGATAGATCTAAGAAAATGTGGAAGTGATATCACAAGAATTGGATCAGACATTAGATTGGGCTGTGCCATAACAAACCTAGTACCATAAAAAATATTAGAACATCCCAAATCATGTAGGTTTAATCCACTTTTGGGTCTTTAAAAAAGTATGTCGTGAGCTTGTACTATATGCCAGTGCTTGTTCTAGGATCTGAGAATATCAGCAGCAGATAGAAACACCTGTCTTCATAGTACTTATAGTCTAATGAAGCAAAACAGTAAATGAAGCGAGACAGTCAATTACATAGTATGTTAGAAGTCACTGGTGCAATGGAGCAAAATCAAGCAGGAAAAGAGAATAAAGTCGGGGGAGGACTACAAAGTAAAATAAGTTGATCCTGAGAGACCTCACTGAGGTATCTCAGGCAAAACTTGGAGGCATCTAACAGGCAAGGTCAAGGCTCGGTGAGGAGGTAAAGGGTTGGAAGAAGTGGCCTAGGAAGAGGCAGTTGAACAGTCGGAGATAGAAACAGGCGAGGGGGAGACCACGTACCACGTATACCATCATAACGGCTTTGGCCTTTACCCCAAGGGATGTGGGGAGCCATCGCGGGTTTGTGAGCAAAACAGACATGATTCGAGTCACTCTGCGCACCAGGCTCACTTTAACTGCTTCCCACCCAACTCTCTTGTTCCCAATTCCACCTTCTGTAACCTGGCCAGGTAACCTTCCAGTTGAAACTGAGACTGAACCATTTCCTAATGAAAAATCTATGTGCGGGAAAGGGGGGTGCTCAGGTGGGGCCAGCTCTGGCATGGAACATCTTTTCGCTTACAACTCCCCAATCTGCTCAGAGATAACCCACCCCGCCGGAGGGGACGCATGCAAAACAGAGAGGTCACACTCAACACGCAAACACACTCCTTCCCGCAGCCTCGCTGCAAACATCTGCCAGCGGCGCGTGGGGCCTGGCAAGCCGCTGCGAGGCGAGAACTCCGGTCGGCTGGGCCACCTCTCACTCACCCGCAGGTTCCCCTTGGTCCGCTGCTTGTTCTTCCCGCCCATGGTCGCGGTCTGAGCCGCACTCTCAGCCCGCAGCCCCTGGTTGACACTGCCGGGCCACGACTTCCGGCCCCGCTCGCCGGAAGTGTGTCCACTGGAACAGTTTCCCCCGGCCCTCCCCTTCCGCCTCCCACCCCGCCTGCCCTCCACCCAACTTCTGCTCCCGCCTCCCGCCGCGTCCTTGCCTATCTGCCGGCGTAAACGTCACAATTAGAGCCGGTATACACGGCACAATTAGAGCCACGCCTATCTGAGTGACGTCATTCCTGCCCAATAGAAAGCCAAGCATTGGACTCATCGAGCCAAATCCTTCCTTCCTTCGCTTTCCCGGAGCGAGAGATGTTCCTATGTCTGCGGGAAGAGGCGTGGGATGTGGCATAGAGAGACTTTTTCACGCAGGAGTTTCAGTAGAATGATATGGTGGTAGTGGGGTGATAGGAAAATGTTCTACCTTTTAAAATGCAATCATCAACATCCTCTGAGTGTTTGTTAGAAATGCAGTTTGTCAGGCCCACTTCGGGACTATTATATCAGATTCTGCATTTTTAGCGAGATTCCCAGGCCTTGTTAAAATTTGAGAAGTAGTGCTTTGGGCAATATTCTCTCTTTGTTAGCATATCATAAGCGTTATGTGCACTTCCTGTAAAAAAGGGTAATGTGGCGGTCTATTAAAATTTGAAACGTGCAGTTCTCATACTTAATGATTTTCCTTCTGAGAATCACACAAGAGATACCTAAGCACATGCTGCCGACTACTGTCTCTTCCTCACGTCCACACACTCACTCTTATACTCAACTCCATGATACTGTGGTGCTGCAAACTATTCTTCCTTTATTCACCTGGCTTCCTGTTAGGTTCAGTAAACACGGTGACTAGGAGACTGAAAGACCAGAAGAAGGAGAAAATACTTTCTCCATTCTGTTAACATCCTAACAGCATCAGCAATTGCTTTAGGCAGTGATTGGTTTCACTCTCCCATCATTTTTTAAACAATCAGAATACTATTATTTGTACAGGAATTACTTTTACAATTAAAAGCAGCCTTATCGCTCACCTCAGAGGGCCCAGCAGCAGCCAGGTAGGACCCTCCCCCTGAGAGGCCTGAGTCCTAACTCCATGAGGCTCGCTCCTCTGAGCTCTTAAGACAGCCAGTGGTGCTCCCTTCTCAGAAGTCAGAACCCCAACACCACCCGGTCCCTTCTTTGAACTCTGAAGGATTAGCAACGACCTGGCATCACCCTCCCTTCACAGATTTGAGCTGAGCCCCAGCTTTTCAGCCTCTCCCCCAAACTATTCCGATTACCCCAACCTCTTATTTCCTTCCTTTCCTAGCTTTTATAATCCCTTTTTTAACCAACCTTCCATATTAATATTTTTTTCTCTTTAAAAAAGTAGTGAAGTTTCTGTTTTCTTAATTGGACCCAGTGGCATCAGATTGCCAGATCGAGCTTAAATGGAAGGCTCATTTTGCCCCTTTGCAGACTTTTTATGGGTTCAGGTTGTCCTAAGTAGTTGTAAGCACTGTTGGGGGTAGGGCAGGAACAGGAAGTAACATACCAGCACCTGTCTTTAAATGCTATTAAGTCTTGGTTGCTTTGCAGCTGTTATGCAATTTCAAAAATGACATATTGTTGGTTTTTCCTGATATTCTGATATGCGGCTTTCTTTAAAAAAAAAAAAATCTGTGCAACAGTTGTTTTTACGTAAGTGCTAAAAGTAATCAGTTCTTTTTTTGGTTGCATTTTATCAAATTAATATGGTCAGAAGACTGACTTTGTGACCATATTGTGTACTTATGCAATTTTTTGGTTGCATTTTATCAAATTAATATGGTCAGAAGACTGACTTTGTGACCATATTGTGTACTTATGCTCAAGTTCAACTAATTTGGATTTATGGGATTAATTTTAGAATTTTTACATTTTGTTTGTTTTACTTAAGAATATTATTATTTGTACAGGAATTACTTTTACAATTAAAAGTGGACATGTAGCCAGTTTCCTGCCCACAATTTTGTTTTCTATAGATCTTTTAATTTTTAAACATAACTTGATTTGGTACTAATAGTTCCTTTTAAGGATTTATCCTTATTTCTTTATGGATGATTCCAGTTGTAAGATATATGTATCAGATTAATACACTGACAAATTGTCATTGTGGAATAAATATATATACTGAACAGTTTTACGTTTACGGATGTTTATATATCAAGTATAAAATCATTGGTAAAAGTCTAAGAAAGCTATATTGCTGATAGGTCTGACATTTAACTAGTTTCTTACAGCTTTTATTGTATTTCTTACATTATATAATGTAGACCAGACCATCTAACTTGCTGTTTTCTTTTCTGATGACTAATACTTTCATCCATTTTTGAATGGATCTACTAATCAAGAGTTTGGAAAATCTGTACTTCTCTTGGTCACTATGTCAATAAACCGATATCTAAATTTGACAGGTCTGTATCAGGGAAGAAAATTTGTAAAACTACGTACTGCATTTTATCTTTTTATGTTACACTTAAGATCTAGGTATTTGTACATACCGATGCGTTTTTTATTAAAATAATGTACGAGGACTGAAAAGGTTTTAGCAGATTAGTCCTGCTATAAGTAATATGTGCACCATCTGGCCCCTTGGGTAGCCTCTAGGGATGTCAGATCCCATGCTCTGTGGAGTATTTCATCTAGAAGGAAATGGGGGAGTCAGAAAGTCTAGACAAACAGCTGGTCCATCTGGCTGTGTGGTGGCAACCGAGGAAGCATCTGTGTTTCCAAGGCAATTGACATGCAATGGGGAGGTGAGCCAGTAGGGAGAGAATCCGAGGAGGTACATAAGGTTCATATCCAATATAGTATATCATTGATTCTTATTTGTGTTTAACTAGCTTTATATTTAAGACTCATTCACATTGCTTTGTGAGTTCTACTTTATTCTTTCTCACTTCTACACAGTATTGCATAATGTGTACCATGTATGTCAGTATACTTACTGATTAATCATTTGCTAATGGGCACATAGGTTGCCTCCAAGTTTTTACTAAGATAAGTGATGGATTGTATCCCTCCCAACCCCCAACCTCATTCCTCTAACCAAGTCTGACTCTTCAAGGAATACCCAACCCATAGCAGAGTACTAACCTGAGAGTCAGCAATTAGTAAATATTTAATTAGCACTTTGGGAACTGATTTATGGAAACTTCAAAAACCAGGCAGTGTGTTTATTTGACTCTGGATCAATTCGTTGAAACTGAAATTTACAGAAAGCCATTTCCAGAATTAAAAAAAAAAATGTCAAAATCCAATTTGCTAAAAACAAATTCTCTAAATTATGAATTTGATGGATTGTCGAGGCCTATCAGAAAGTGTGAACTCTGCTCATGCCCCGGCCTTCTATGAGGCAAGCCCAGGGGCAGGGGCAGAGCATAAGTACACAAAGAGAGATGAACTGCAAACTGCATTTAAGAAAAACTTCACCTATTTGTGTATCAAATGGCTAGAGTAGATGCAAAACTAAAGCTTTGAAAAAGTCTATTTGGCAATCTAGCTTTACCTGATAGTAACAGGGACAGAATATAAATAAAACTGGTTATGTTTCCTAATAAGTTGTCTCGAGATAGGCAGGGGCTGGTGCTGGACCAGCGGCTCAACAACACGAGGACTGACAACTCTGTGGTTCTCTTGGCCCTTCTTCTCTCATGGTTGAAAAGACTGCTGCAGCTCCAGCCATCACCTCGGCGTCGTGGCAGAAAGAGGGAGAAGAGGTGCTCTAGCTGTAGCTATCGCTTTAATCTGGAAAGCAAAAGTTTTCCCCGACATTCCAAAGCCAAAGCAGTGTCCGACGGCCACCATGGTTGGAAGAGAGGCTGGGAGAGCGAGTATTTAGCTTTTCCAGGTTCTTTAGTGGAGTCCGGTAAAGAAGAAAGGGGTTGGGAATGGGTGACAAGTTGTACCACCAACATTATCTAACTCAAATCAAATTAATTTCTCATTAAAAATTAGTAGCTTATATGTAAAGAAATATGTCAACAATTTTAAGATTATAACTTAAAACTCAGTTGTTTTCAATCATGACATATTTAACAGATACATTTCAGCTGTTCTACTTTTTCTTTTTTTTTTTCCTCCTAGCATTCTAGAATGGGACTAAAGTAAAATAACTTAATCTTTCAAGAAAGAGTGGAGACAAAATCAAAGGCAACAGTGACAAAATACTTTCAGTTAGTCCTCTACTCAGTTATTGTCCTTCCACACCAAAGAACATCTGGAAAACATCCCCACATCCTCTGGCATTTAAAAACTGATACAGCTGACCGAAGTCCATGTGGGTTCCTCTGGCTCCATTAACGTTGAACACTTTTTCTTCAAAAACTGAAAATTTTCTTTGTCTTCCCATTTCATCATTTGTACCATCAAAAGGAATGTCCTCCCGATGGCGAATCAAAATTCTCTTCCAGTTTAATTTTCTGAGTCTGAAAAAAAATTTTCAAAGTAGAAATTTTGAAACCCTGTTATGCATTCTAGAACACTAAGAAGTTATAAAACAGGTTTATCAATGCCTTTTCCTAGAAGTGAAGAAATCTACTTTTATCTCGGAGGGATTTATTTTAATCAAATATGATTCTGGTTGTAATCCCATCCACAAACTCATGTATTTCCATTATCATTGCCTCGTATCAGCAATTTTGAAATGTGGAAATTGCTGAATCTCTAACTCCTGGAGGGACTTCTCAGATGCTTATTTAAGATATCAGTAGAGAAATGAAATTAGAAATTCCCATGTTTCACAGGGTATAGACAGCCTACAGCATCACCAAGATGAGGGAAAAATCAGACCCACAGAAATGGAGGGGCTTGATTCAACATCTATTTACAGAATGTCTCCTATGTGCATTGTGCCCAGTGATGGAAGTGACGCTGACCATACGTGAGTTCTGTTTTATCCACTGACTTGAGAATGAATCCCCATAAGAGACAACCCCACTGAGATACTTATTTGTACATCTCTAGTATCTGATTTAGTTCTAAAATTATTTGCACAGCATATAAAATTTGTAAAAGCAAACCTTGACCAGAATTCTTCACAGGCACTTTGTGGGCCTTCCACACAAACAACCCCAGGTTTCCCAGGCATGCTAAACCCAGACAGAGAAAGTTCCTTCGCCCATTCTAGAATATCCTTTCTTTTGCACTTGTTGTAGATGTGATGGCTATAGATCCAGAGTCTCGTGAGAATGAAATCGACTGGCTGGACGGTACTTCCTGGAGCGGGGGAAGGGGTAGTATCCCTGCTGACATAGCTGGAAGCGTGTTCTCTAACCCAGTCTGTGGCATTCAATATACAGACGTCTCCAAGACAATTCTTTTGCAGGTATGTGTTCAGATCTGTGTTCAGCTGAGTTTGCTGGGATCTACTCAATAATACTGATCTGATGGAAAAGATGTGGGATAAAAAGAATTAATTTTCCTAGAACAGAAAACAAACTCGAGAATGGCTTTTAATCTTAGATTAATTTTGGCCTCTAAAGTTGGCCAGTTTCTGTAACATACCTGACAGTAATTTCAGGCAGAACTGTGGGGTATTTAAAGGGAAGAATACAGGCCAGAGAAAATATCACCTGATCAAAACAAGAAGAAAAATGCCCTAAGTGCTGTTTTAGGTCTTGACATGTTTCAATTCTTCCAAAAGCAGAATTGAATTACCATTGCTTCCTCAGATACGTCCAGGTTCATATTGATGGTAAAGTAAACTTTTGAAGATCGCCCCTCCATTGTCCTCTTTTCGATACAATCTTTTAGTTCTGCTAAAGCCAGCTGGTCATTCACTATGAGCTCATCTTCACCAGGGAACATACTGGTTAGCAGGTCTAACTCAGAGAGCTGGGCCTCGGCCTGTTCAATCTCAATCATGTCTGGATATCTGTAAGTTTCTAAGGAAGTAAGAATAGGAGAGACAATTGACATATGCGACCTTGGGAGAACTCAATATATTAATATGGGTATTTATTAAAACTATATTTGGTTTCTTCATAAAATGTGAAATGTAATCAGAGGATCTTTCCCCATTATTCTGCTCTGTAATGTGTTGTAATATGTATGTGATAGATGTCATATGTTAAGGACCCAAAATATGGGACAATCCAGTGAGAGCAATAAAACTCTAGTAATAACCAGGCACCAAATTCCTATGTATCTAGATAGTTGATCTGGCATCTTGAGCTACCACAATGAGCAATTTCACTAAAGTAGTCTAATTATGCAGTCAAAAGCCGTATCAATGACATTGCCAGGAGAGAGGCTATGACTGGTTACCTCGGAAACCCGGAATGAACAGAATAAGAAAGCTAATTATATGGATAGTTAATTTTTTCTTCTTAATGTTAAGTTTATTCATTTTTAAAAAAACAGAAGAATTTGAAGAGAAAATAAAAGCTACCAACAATCTCAAAGCTCAAGCAACCCGTTAATATTAAAAAAATATATATATACAAGGTTAGAAAATTGAAATCATAGAGGAAATTTTAAAAATAAAGATTTAGTTACCTTCTGGTAGTCTCTTCCCCAACCTACCTAAATCCCCAATCCAAGGCAAAGAGTTTTCGGGTTTTATATAAGAAAAAAATTTTAAACATTATACATACACATATGTGGAAAATATATGCTGGTATAATGTGTAAATATACGTAGCAAGTTAGATATATAAACAAAATTAAACTGTATTCAAAAGGGATCATTTATACATATTTCCCCCCACTTCCACCCCTCTTCCCCAGCTATATTTTGAAGATCTATTCACCACCAGCACATAGTTATCTATCTCATTCTTTCTAGAGGTTGACTTTCATATATAATCATGTAGATATCTCATAATTTATTTCCTTCTTTACCTTGAACATTTGGGTTGCTTCCACATTTTTCCTATTGTAAACAATTCTATAATAGAGATTCTTTCTTATATATACAGTTTGGTAAACTGTGTGTGTGTATGTGAACACTGTATATACAAGGATAAGTTTCTAGAGGTGACATGTTAAAATGACGGGTATAGTATTTTAAATTTTGGTATATATTACCAAATTGCCTTCCAGAAAGTTGCCATATGGAAGTTTAAAATTTTTACATAGTCCTCTCATTTTTAAATAAAATTCTTAATACACAGTTTTTTTAATGGTGTTTTGTGTTGGTGTATGCATTTCAAACATGGTTTTAAGGACCTACGAGACTATAACAAAAGATCTACATTAATGTCATCAGAGTCCCAGAGAGGGCAAATGTGGCAGAGCTGAAAAAGTACTCAAAGAAATAATGGCGGAAAACTTCCCAAATTTGTCAAAAGATATAAATGAATTCAAGAAGTTGAACATATCTCAAGCAGGATGAATTCCAAAGAAATCCATATCAAGACACATCATAGTCAAACTTCTAAAAACTAAAGAAAGAAGAAAAAATCTTGAAAGCAGCAAGAGAGAAATTAACCTTAGCTATAACAGAAAACAATTTAAATAAGGTAATATTTCCCATCAGAAACCATGGAGGCCAGAAGGAAGAGGCATAATATTTTTCAAGTGCTGAAAGCAAAGAACTATTGATATCCAGTGAAAATGTCCTTCAGGAATGAAGAGAAAATTATGACAGCCTAAGATGAATGAAACAACTATTAACAGTTGGCAAAATGTGGGAAGAAAGAAGGGAAGAATTTTTACTTTCCAATTTGCATGCTTCTACAGCATCAGAAGTTTCGTAATTAGCCTGCAGTACTTCTAAATTCAGCTGGAAAAAAGATGAGTTACACTTCTGAAAAGGAAAAAAAAAAGCTCAACACCTCCATTGCTATAAAGGAAAACATGGCTTACCTTCTCAAAGAGAATTTACTTTGTGAAATCAAACACCATCATTTAGGTTAATGGTGTCTTCTTAGAACTCTTTTCAGCTTTGGTAAGAAACTTTGAAGTATATTGAGCAGCTACTGTATTTAGAGCTTCATCCATCATTTCTTCTGGGAGGTTTCTATTTAGTTGATAATCAGGACATATATCTAATACGATCTAGAATAATATAGAGAAAAAGACTAAGCATAAAATGACCAGTATAGGTATCTGTGAGGCAGGATAGCACAGAAAAATAGCATAGACTTGAACTTGTCCCTCACAACACCAACTACCAAGGCCTAATATAGGGGCTTATGATTTGGATTATTTTCTCTTGTGCTAGTTACTTTCTATTTGTCCCCTAAACCCATTCTTAGCCTTTCTATTCCCTGCTCTGGACTCTGGACAGCTGACCTCCATGATGTAAAGCACCAGACTCTTCTGCCTTTCCTGAGGTTTGGTTCAGCCAATGCTCCGGCTGGAAGTAGGAGGATGGGGGGAGAAAGAATCCACAGTATTTCTTCACTACTCTTGTGCTTTGGTGGGATTCTGACGATGGCTGTGACCCCCTGAAAACCCCATTTTCTACAGGCAGCCAGCCCCTCTTCCTCAGCTCCAGCAGACCTTTGAGGCCCCAGGGTAGTCATGCAGTGTTCCTTTAAACCTGGCCACATCTCCGTAAACAGCCCCTTTATTAAACAGTTTCTGCAAAGTTTCAAAGTTGAGTATGTGTCTGTTTCCTTCCAGAACCTCTTACCTGGACTTCGGCTCTAATGTCTCAATCAACTCAAGCTCACGTTGTCGTTATACTGATTATATGCAGTGTTTAGTAGGTGCATACTGAGACGAGCAGTGAGTACCAACTATGTATTAGAAAAAAGTTCACATATCCGACGACTGGGCAACAGTGTTGCAATCTGAGGAGGAGGAATCCTGGCCTGTTAGAGTCTCACAGACGAAGGCAAGCTAGCTGATGACTCCGATGGCTACCCAGATTCAGAAGCACGAAAGGCCAGCGCACCGAGAGCAGATCCACCTCCCAAAGGCTGCCTCGGATGATCCATTAACACAAGCCCTCTAGGAGCATGTCTCTCTCTTTGTTCAAGTTTTCTTTCTTTCATCCAATATGGTTGGAGCATGTCTTTAATGTCAGATATTTTATTTGGTCATTTATTTGTCAAATTATTTTCGTAGATGAGATTTAAGTCCAAGAAAAGAAATCTTTAAGAGAATTCTCAGACAAGATTTCAGTGAGTGCTGTACGAACGTAGAATGAAACTCGAGTTTTCCGAGCGGAATCGTTTTTTTTTTCCTCACCCGGGCGCCGGTGCCATCGCACCTAACAACTGACTAGACCTTGTGAGTGTGGCGGGAAATGGGGGTGGGGGGATTG